CTTAAACAGTTCACTCCCTATACTGCAGTCCCCATTGATGAGTTTGTAAATTGCAATCATATTCCTTCTTAGGCTCCTCGTCTCTATAAATAACATGTTTAATTTCTGTAGCTGATCTTCATAACTCAGCCCCTCCATCCCGGTTATTAATTTTGCTGCAATTTTCTAAACTTTCTCTAAGTTCAAGGAACATCATTCCTAAGGATTGGTGTCCAAATCTAAACCACATACTACAGGGGAGGCCAAACCAGTGTTTTATAAAGTGGCAGAATATTTTAATTCCCTGCAAATCCCTCTTTAAACGCAGGATAGTATCCTTGCTGCAGCTTGGCAATGCATAATAGCATATTACTGAGTCTGGGGTCCATAAGAACTCGTAGATCTTTCTCCATTCCTCAATATTGAATCCCATCTGCCATGTTGCAGCCCACTCCTCAATTTTCTCTAGGTCTTGCTGCAGTTATTCTATATCTTGTTGAAAAGTTTATTGTTGTACATAGCTTGGCTTCATCAACAAAAACTGAGATTGAGCTATTTATTCCAATTTCCAAACCGTTTATGAATAAGATAAAGATAACTTGGCCCAGGACTGCACTCCACTTATAAAATTGGACCATTTAGAAAATTAGCTGTTTATCACTACCCTCTAGATCCATTCTTGTAACCAGTTTTCTATGTACATACAAGTTTTTCAATGACAACAGACCTCAATTTGTAAATTAAGCGCTTGTTGGTACTGTATCAAATGCTTTAGCATAGTCCAGAAAACGACATCAACTGGTCTTCCTGAATGGTCCCTCATAAACCCATGCTGGTTGTTATTTATACCATTATTGTAGGCAATTTTTTTTTAATACAGTCCCTTACCATTCTCTCAAATACACTGCATATTAATAGTGTAAGGTTGACTGTTCTATAGTTACCTGGTGTACATCTTGCCATTTGCTTCCCACCAATTAGTCAGTACTATTTAAATCATTAAAGTGTTCTGAAAAATTAGGAACAAACGTCTGGCTATAATATTGCTAAGTTTTTTGAGGACTTGCAGGTGTAAGCCACCTGGTGGCCTGAACCTTGATGAATACTTACTTGTGGAACTGCGGATAGGCCAAATGGTGCAGCTAGAAACTGTTAGTATTGAGCACCTACAGCAAAGTGAAGGTAGCGTTGGTTAAGGACATTCAAGTAGGCATCCTTGACATCCATAGAAGCCAGAAAGTCTTCCCTGATGAAGAAAAGCTATGACAGACTTGGTGAATTACATGCAAAAATGTGGACACAAAAAATGGTATTTAAAACGGGTTGAATGCCACATTTTCGTTTTGGAGTTTTGAAAAGGTTGGAGTAAAAACAGTACAATGACTAACATGCCCTGGGACAACAGATCTGCCAGAGCAGCACTGAGATCTGCTAGTCTGTGCAGAGACATAGGCAGATTGGACAACATGAAGTGGAGCGGAGAATGAGAAACTCTAACTTGTAGCTACGGGAGACACTTTCTATCTAGGTGTGCTTTGCTTTGAAACTTTTACAGCTATTTTTTTGTCTGATTCTTGTAGTAAAGCATAGGAAACTTGCCTGGTAATAGTATTAATGTGCTTTGCATGCAACAAGACTAGGTACACAAACTACTTAGTTAAAGTAAAACAATACAAAACATACAGGCTTCTACAAATATGCATACATACACACACATGCAAAGCTATCTATTCTTTCTAGCACATGGAATGATTTCTATGCAATAGGATATACTAAAATTAACTTAGCTTTGGGTATTGGACATCCACAGATTTCTTCTTGAACAGGACTTCTTGGCTATTATGCATTCTCAGTAAAATGGCTTCTTGTTGCAGTTCCTCTTTCTCTATTGAAGCTTGGCTTTAGTGCCATCCTTCTGGTGCCCCAGTCAAGTGAGTTCTTGCATTTCCCGCTCCACTGAATTCCCATTTCCCCTCAAATTATGTTTCTTCGTAAGGTCCCCCTTATACACTTGTGCTGCTGGCTTTTATTTACAAAAATTAGTAGCCAACAACTGTGGGCGTTTCCCTTACACCTTATTTCAAGATTCCATGATGGGTGTATCTCTCTTATTCCAACTCTAGATGGCAACATAGTACCATGAAGGTCATCATGGTATACACACACATAATACAAGGTGTCAGCAAAAGGTTAGCAGACATCCCCCCACTATGAATAGTGGAGGCATCCCTTCATGCTGAAGAGGACTTGCCTGCAGGTTTGGATGAGGATTTTAGGGCCCAAGGCTTTCAGCTAAATTGAGTCCCTGGTTTGGCTCTGGAATTGGAAGAGTGAAAGAACTGAAAAGAACTTATCTTGGCTTCTTATTTTATGTGGGGGGGCAGGGAACATGGGGGCTTCTTATTTTATGTGTGAGGGGGCAGGGAACAGGGGGAGGAGAGGGTAATATTTTATATGTGGGGGTGCATGGAACAGGGCGGAGAGTGTATTATTTTATATGTGGGGGCAGGGAGCTTTATGGTAATATTGTTAATATTTATTTTTGTAACTTTATTTTGCATTAAACATCTAACAGTGTAATTTATAAGATTATTTAAGAGGGTGTGTTTAGGGGCAAAGTTAAGGCCGGGGCAGGGTAGGGGTTAGGTGGGGCAACTGGAGGCGAGTAACTCCTAAGGCCTGGCTAGTAGCTCAGGACTTGAAATTTTGACCCCTGATCTATATGATGTATATGAATATCCAATGTGTACAATAGAGGGAATTTGGTTTATCGCTTTGGTGTTCAATTTTGAGAGGGGAAAAGCACAGCACTGTATATAGAGTGCTTTTAAAGTGCCCTGCAGCAAACAGAGGGATTCTTGATGGAATTCATCCCTTTTAAGACTGAAATCAGATCTGTTCTGTCAAACAGGGACAGCTGTGAAGTATATCATGTGACACAGATGAACTGGCGACATCAGAAAAGTATCTATGTGTCTATAGCACAGTTCCCTAATTTAATCGATTTTTATTAAAAGAGAAGTATGGGGTAAGTGTTTTTCCCCATAGTTCTCTTAAGGGTCATGGGAGGACATATACTAGCGTCCTCCCGTGACCCAAAGCTCAGTATATTGTGAGCTACAGCTCGCGGTATACTGTGACCGCCGCAGCCGGGACGGATCCCGACAATGCTGTCGAGATCCACCCAGCTGCGTGAATGACAGCTTGCTCTGCCTATCTAGAAGTAGAGTCAGCTGTACCCGCCCCCTCCACCGTCCGTTCCGCCAGTAAGCGCTGGAGGATTGGAGTGGGGAACGGGGGAATCCTTGCGGGGAGTGGTGACTGACAGTCACCGCTCTCTGCAGCGAAATGATCGAGAAGTGAGCGAGCGACTGTATGTGTTCGCTCACTTCCCGATCTATTGAGACGAAGTGTGACAGTTTCATTGTCACACGTCGGCTCGAACTATGAGGTGAGTGAAAATCACTCACCTCATAGTTCTCCTTTAAGGATTGAAAAAAGTCAGAATGCCAGTACAGCGCATGAGCTTTATGAATATACATAACAGTGCAATGCAACTGAAAAAAAGAACAGTCACTGTATCAAATGGGACCCCTGAAGGGCTTCTATGTGCAGGAATCACTATCTCAGACATGCAAAACAATAGAGCATAGCCAGTCCCCGAGCCCACTCATAAAGGGAGTGGGAGGACAGAAGGAGCAAAACAGTTCTCTAATTTTTAGAATGATGACTTTTCAATGTAAATGAAACCGTTTCTAGAGTCAGCTGATTTCTCCCATGTTCGTGAGATAGAGGTGAGCCCCAACCATACAAACCTATGCTGAGAAGAGGAAGAATTCATCAAGGAGTAAGACCTCCCTGTTCCTCCATTCCCACAGATTACAGGTCTGAATATCTGAACAGTGTGAGTGTAAAAAGATAAGCAAACAAGTAAGTTGAGGAAGGCTGCAAATTGGTGAGAACTGCAATACAAATGCTCAGACACCTTTAGGACACTTGTGTGACCTAGGTAACCACAGGATATGCACATCTATCAGTAATCAAAATGTTTACTAAAAAAATTTATGAAATCCTCTGTGTATTCACCGTCAAGAAATCTATCCTGTATAGGTTCTAGGGTAAGACTAATAAGAGAACAAATATGCAAAAAAACATTTATAAAAGGGTAATACAGTAACAATGGAAATATCAAATTGCAAAACTTCTATATGTGCAAAGGAGTTTCAAAGGATAGTGCTGTTAGAAAGATTGTCTTAACAGCAAAATAACACATTGGCACCTTATGTTGCCTACTACCCAGCATTATATGTATGTATAGCAAATTTTGTTTTATTTTGGATACGAAGGATTAAAACCCCTTTCGGTGGGGAGATTTCAATTCACTTCCTTTTCTATTGATGACAGGAAGTAAGAAGAGATCTGTGGAGGGAATTCCCCTCTTAGTTATCACCGAAACAGGTGTCCGCATTGGAAGATCTCACCTCTATTCCGGTTTTGGTAACAACTGGATTTATCATCTTTCTCTCAAAGTGACAGTGGTCGCCAGGACAAAAAGAGAATGTGAATCTTCCCAGCAGTAACATAGATGGCAATACAAATTTGACAAGGGTTCTATTTTTATTACTCTATTCAAAACTACATGGGTTGTTATAAACTTTAATACTTTTCCTTGAGCAAAGTCTTTAATTTGCTGATTTAGCAGTCACTTACAATTAATATCAAATATATTTACAAGAAAAACCAAGATCCAAGTGTCTTATGCACCAAAGTAATGCAGAGAAAAATGACAATGTGTGATGTACAGTTATCTATAGTGACCAGATTTATATTTAGTGTACTCCAGTAAGATAAATTCTGATTATGTACTGTAGCTTGTTGGTTGCTTTACTGAACATAATGATATTGATAATTGACATTATGTGTCTTTCTCATTAATGCAATTTAAAAGAATAATAATGAGATGCATCGTGCAGTAATCCATGACAGCAAATCAATTGTCCAGTGCAGTGATCTTATTGGTTCCTCTGGGTTATCACATTAAAACAAATCAAAATCAGACTAAGTCAGTTTTCTTTATTTTGCATTTCCAGTTTACTAAGGGACTTTTCCAGCTTTTTAAGATTTACGCTGTGCATCATCAGAAATTGTCCATTGAGGTGAAACACAGGAATGTCATATTTATATCTGTCGTACCAGGTTGAGTTATCTGGAAGAGTGATGTCCACTTGTTCTAAAACAAACTAAAAAAAAAAAAGTCTAAAATTAATGCACAAAAATTCAACCTGATACTAGAAATTCTCATTAATGTCATGTTTATGCAGGACAAAAAGGTAAAAAGTCACCAGCACTTGATTGTTTTGAAAGTGAATATGTCCCTTTATTGGACAAAAGACGTCATAGGGGAGCCAACGTTTCGGGGCCACACAGGGTCCCTTCTTCAAGGCAGAAAGTATGTTTATGCAGGAAACACATAGTCAAAGCCTAATTCTAGTCCAAACTTTTTTTAAATTTAGTTTTGGATGGAACGGGGAAGAGTAAGAATCTTTTTCATGTTTTTATTGTGGTCTGTGACCTCATTTGGGGGAAGGAGAAATCAAAAGATCTCGCTGCACTCCTTACCGGAGTCAAAAAGACCTGTATGGACGGGTGGGTGCTTGTAGTGGCCACGGATGGCACCGTGAAAAGATGAGATAGAAAATAACATCACCAGCACTCCAAGGGATAATAAAGCAATAGTCAATTCATTGGCACATTGCCATTCAAATGCTATTTGAATTGCATTTGAATGGCAATGTACCAATAAATGGACTATTGCTTTATTATCTCTTGGGGTGCTGGTGACGTTATTTTCTATCTCATTTGGGGGAATTCTCTTCATTTTCCATCTTTTTTTTAAAGGTTGTCTGAGGAACAGACAGAAATTGTTCTGGTAGAAGGAGGAAAGCTTTAGAACCCCTGCCAGAGTCCTTATTGAGGAAATTTTCCCTCATTTCCAGTCCAGCTGATGAATGTCAGAAAATAAAATGAAGACATTAGACATTATTTAAACCCTGACTGAGCCTATAACCTTTCCCCATTCTATCCAAATCTAGAAAAACTTTGGTTGGAGTTAGACTGTAATAAAGCAAAAAGTATTTACTTACTGTAACCAAATAGAAATTATCTTTTTAACCTCTTAGTTTTTGGAAGGTGAAACCGCTTTAGTTCTTTTTAGTTTAACTTTATGCAACATTGTTGCTTTTTGCTTAGCTTGAAGATAGGATAAGTGCACGCTAAGAGCATCTACCCCCTCACTTGCCGCTTCAAAATGACCACAGAACCAGCAGATCCTAAATCAGACTTATCCTTCCCCACACTGTCCCCACACTGTCCATGGAGAGCTGCAGATTACACCATGGCTGCGGAGTGCTTTTTAAATCAGGAGCTAGCATTTCTGCTTAAAAGCACAGGAACATAATATTATTCAAGTGTGATCTCTGGTCCTTCAGACAAAATGTAAAAACAACCGCATGTGTCGCCTATTACCTCTTATAATTATGAATATTTTCACAAACACGATTTTGTCAACAGAAAGCCTTTATTTTATTAATCCTCCCAAGAGAAACAAATAACTTAGCTGACAGCATGAAGTCATACTGCTATCACATTACTGGTGACTGCTCTGCTCAGTCATACAGTGATCTGCACTTCATCACTGGTTGCATTGTTTTTAAGTCAGTTGCAGTTGTCAGTTGCTTTGTTGTTCTACAGAACGGATGAGGATCACCTACAGTAAGGTGATTTCCCAGATGAAAATGTGTTTTCTAAAGTCGAAATAATTTTGGTGACAACATAAAATGTATTTTTAATTCTTTTAATTAGTGTAATGACTTTATTGTGAATCTATGGACCATCTGTTAAGAACCACTAGTGTACAGTGCCCCAACTTCCACTGCATCAAATCCTACAGGGGTAAAGACACTAAAAGCTGGAACCATGAGCCCTGGTATATAAAGTACAGACATCGTACTCAAGAGATGGCAGGGGGCTATAAACAGTTTCTTAGGTGCTATACCAGCTAGGAGTGTATTTACACTCCCTCAGCCGACTGTCGGCTTTCAGGTAGAAGTGATTTAAAGGAGAACTATGGGGTCAGTGTTTTTCCCCATAGTTCTCCTTAGGGTAACGGGAGGACACAAACTAGCGTCCTCCCGTTACCCTAAGCTCAGTATACCGCGAGCTACAGCTCGCGGTATACTGAGACGCCGCAGCCGATCCCGACATGGACGTCGGGATCTGCCCAGCTGCATGAGTGACAGCTGGCTCTGCCTATCTAGAGGCAGAGCCAGCTGTACCCGCCCCCTCCCCCGTCCGTTCCACCAGTCAGCGCTGGCAGATCGGAGCGGGGAGAGGGGAATCCAGCCCCTCCCCCTGTCACGGCAGAGAGCCGTGACAGGATCGAGAGGTGAGCGAACCCGGTATGTGTTCGCTCACCTCCCGATCTACTGAGCCGACCTGTGACAGTCTCATTGTCACAGGTCGTCTAGAACTATGAGGTGAGTGGAAATCACTCATCTCATAGTTCTCCTTTAAGCAGCTGTAAAGCCACCTAGTCACTTCTACACCCCCCTGCATAGGGGGCTATCTGTTGGAAATGCAACAGCATATACTGTTACGTCTTTTGAGCTGTAGATGGCACTGTAGTGCAATGTTACTCTCTATATGCATGCTGATCTATGATACACAGGACATGTTTGTATCTATACATTTTCCTGCACAATGCTGTATTCAGATGTAATAATCTTCTAAGCAAATAAAACAATTCATCATTCCTCAAGATCTCAGTGCTTCATATAAACACATAACTAACACTATCTACCTATGTAATAGCAATAAAGTTTTTAGTGCAAATGCTCATTCCTGCCATCTGTGAGATGCTGAGAATGGAGTCTAGTGTCAAGACAATGTAACTCCAGCATGCATGCAGGGGTTACACCATCAGTGGCTGCCCAATGGCTGATGAAAGAAGATGTTATCTGTGGAAGAAGATGAGGAGATGGTAACGACAGGGATCGCAGAGTGGTCACTAGTGGAGGAAGGCAAACTCTAAGCCAAGTTTGTCCTAATGTGTAAATATGTTGTGTATGTTTCCATGTTACAGTAAGAACTGCCTTCACTTGGCCATGGTACAGTTTTCTCTTTACCTGTAGTGACCCAAAGCAAAGTCAGGGCACTGGTCAGGAATAACTTGGTTGAACTGGCTAAACATAATGGGGGGAATTTACCATAGCAATTGCTAGTGTTTGAACTCGCATATAGTCGCATGGGATATATTTTCCCCAGATTTATGTTGCTAGTGCAATGTTGATAAATAAGAATAAATAGACTCCAGGAAAGAAGACTCGTAAATTCAGGCAAAAAGCTTAACTGTTGCTTCTTGAAGAAGGGGTCATGGGGACTTCTTAACTGATTGTTTTGTAGGTGATGCTCCAGTTTCAGACAGCCGCAGGACAAGCGCAGATGTAAACAGTTGCGAACTTTTGCAAAACAGGCGCAATCAGAAAAATAGTGCAAGCTCTGGTCAAAACAGGTGCACATGTTAAAAGGAGTGGCTAAACAGGTTTGCACATTAAAGAAAATGATCTAAGAGGCTAAAACAGTCACAATTGCTTTAATAAATTCCCCCCAATGTTTTTTTAGGAAGTATCACAGTTAAAATACACTATACAGTTATGTGAAAAAGTAAGTAAACCCCAAATAAATTGTTGGATTGTTCAACATATTTTAACAGATAAACATTAGATCTTCATTTTAATAGTGCCTATAGATAAAGGTGATAAATGTGAACAAATGACAAAGAACAGACATTATGCAGTCATTCTCTTTAAAGGAGAAGTTCTAGCCGACCTGTGACAATGAGACTGTCACAGGTCGGCTCAGTAGATCGGGAGGTGAGCAAACATACCAGCGTTCGCTCACCTCTCGACAGGGGAGGGGCTGGATTCCCCCCTTCGATCCGCCAGCGCTGACTGGCAGAACGGACAGGGGAGGGGGCGGGTACAGCTGGCTCTGCCTCTAGATACGCAGAGCCAGCTGTCAGTCACGCAGCTGGGTGGATCTGGACATAATTGTCGGGATCCGCTTCAGCTGCGGCGTCTCAGTATACCGCGAGCCGCAGCTCGCGGTATACTGAGCCTAGGGTGACGGGAGGATGCTAGTTTGTGTCCTCCCGTTACCCTAAGGAGAACTATGGGGAAACGCCTTAACCCCATAGTTCTCCTTTAACTAAAATAATGAAAAGGCAGATTTGTCATGTGGAAACAGTTAGTACACCCCCACGGTTACCACCACTTTAAATCCATAAATTGAAATATAGATGTTTTCAGATTATGCACCAATAATTAAAACCTACTTTAGGGAGTTTGCAAGTAGAACTTGGGGAACAAAGGTGTTCTCTTTGATGATGGAGTGTGTGATGTCATCATGCCTAAATCAAATAAGCTCTCTAAAGGCCCTTTAGAAAAAAGATTATGGATGCGTAGGAGGCCAGCAAGGGATGTAGAGATTGCCAAATAATTTGAAATTCATCATTCTAGTGTAAGGAAAATAACCTAGTGCCCTAGATTTTAAACGACTGCCAATTTGTTCAGGACTGGCCAACCAAGCCCAATAAATCTAGCCCAAGACTGAATTATGCTAAAAGAAGTCTCCAAGACACCCATAATTTAAATGAGGGTTGTGCAAGTAACTTTTGAACCTGCTGGTGTCCATGTGTATGCTTGTACAATCAGATTGCACCAATTTAACCTGCATTGGAGGGGAGCCAGAAAAAGCCTTTCCTGTCTGAAAAGAACATTAGAGCAAGACTACAGTTTGCCATTTGACATATAGGAAAATACCAGGGCCTTCTACAACAATGTTCTGAAGATTCAAAGATAGAGATGTTTGGCCACAGTAGCAGTAGATGTGTGGTGCAAACCAAAGACAGAATTTCAGGAGGACCCAATTGTGAAGCATGGAGGTTAAAATATCCAGAACGCACAAAACTCACACACAATCGCTCCTCCATGGCTCAGTACGGGGATAAAGCCAGGTGACTGCCAATAAGAGTGTGCCCACGCTCAGAATTCACAGACGCTTAAACTATTTAAGCATCTATGGAGATGAAATGCTATGGGGTTGCTTTTCTGCTTCAGGTCCTAAAGCAACATGCAGCCATTGAGTAAACTATGAATTCTAGATCATATCAAAGTGTGCTTGA